GTTTCTTTGATCAGGAAGCATCCTAAAGAGAACTAATTAACCTGTCTGCCTTTTCAAAAGGAACATGAAAAATAAGAGCAATATTCCTCATCTTGTCAGGAAGGAAGTGAAAGGCTGAAGAAGAAGAAGAAAAAAAAGTCTGCCATTAAATAAATTCACTATGGAATTAGGAGAACATCCCTGGTGTCCTTGCCCCGCCTGCTTCCTGTTAGAGGCCTCTCTCAGGCTGAGACTCACGTGATGGTGGACTGACGGCAGGACTGTGTGTGACAGAACCACTCCGCTCCACTGCGGAGCAGTGGTTGGTGGTTAACATGCACTCGTTTGTTGTTCCCTTTGATAAAACCCGGCTGCTCTTAGAGTTGGAAGCCTTTGGCTTGGGTGAAATATGACTTTCAGTTATGCCACAGTCAGAGAAGCTGAAATAGGAAAGCTGAACTGGGAGGAGGGAGGGGGTCAGGTTTTGTTTTATTAGAGTTACTTGGGCACATAGAACACAGCCCAGCATCCACCCCTCACACTTTCCCCACCAACCTGGGTGTGTGTGGGGGACCATCCCCACTCCCCCTCAGCTGCCCACAGAGCCGCCTCTTCTGTATCATGGACACCCAGACAAAGTGGAAATGGCAATCTTCTCGCACCCCTGTCTTGCTGTATGAGGCCTGGGATCAGCTTTGAGCAATTTCTTGGGGTTTGAGGGGGGACTAGCTTGCTTTCCCCTAAGAACACCTAGGGAAAGGTCTGCCTTACCTCTTGCTTCCAAGGGGAAGGGTTGAAAATAATAGCTCTTGTCACTCCCCTTAGCCTTGTTACAGGGAATATTTAGTGCTGGAGCGGGATGTGGGGGCAACATCTTGGATGTGATCATGTTGCTCCTTGCATCGGTGAGCATGGTATTGATTGTGAGCTGTCAGCCTCTCTACACGCTTTGCAGGGTCCCAGAAGACTGACTGCTGCTGGGCGGGTGATGCATCAGCAGGGACACGTGCCTGAGCCCCGCCGCTTGTTTTTAACATACCCCGGCTCCCTAGCTCTCCACTTTTCCTTTTCAATTCCTCCGCTCCTCTGGGCAGCACTGTGATGCCGGGTACCAGGGTCCCCATCACTCAAGCTCCCTGCTCATCTTTTTGCTTCCTGAGGGCAAAGGCTGCGCCTGTCTTCCTCCCTCCCTTCCTTATGTATTCATTCCATCAACAAATGTTTATCAAGCACCTACTGTGTGCCAGACACTTCTCTACGCTCTGGGGAGATGAGAGTGGACTGAACGCTTCAGGCCTTAGGGTGGTCAGGAAAGGCCTCTCTGAGGAGGTGATACCGAGCTGGGTTTATGGACATGTACTGTGCCCGAACTATGTGCATTTGCTAAGCGATGGGAACCATAATTTCTCAACCAAGCGGCTCATGGCCTGGCTCTTGGAGAACCCCGTGTGGGAGCCTCACTGAGGCCGTGAGTTAGGTCTCATGCCATGTGTTCTTGTCCCTTTACCTTATGTCCCCTTACTCCTCTTGGCTTGTATTCCTGATTTCTTTTTTTTTTTTAAATCCTTACCTGAGGACATGCTTTTATTAATTTTTAGAGAGAGAGAAAAAAAGCGCGGGGGGGGGGGGAGAGCGATAGAAACACCGATGTGAGAGACAAACATCGACTGGTTGCCTCCTGCACACACACCATCTGGGGTTCGAACCTGCAACCTGGGTATGTGCCCTGACCGGGAATGGAACCCCCATCCTTGTGGTGTTTGGGATGAAGCTCCAACCAACAGCCACACCGGCTGAGGCTGCGTTCCTGCTTTTCCCAGGATGAGAATATTGTATATTTCTCACACACCTCGTGCTTTTTCCCCCTTTTTCATCTACAAAATTGACACCTGGACGGCTTTTTTCCTTTCTCTTCACCTGGATCACGTACTCCTTACTGATCTGTCAGGTGTACCCTAGGAATCGCTCCTCTGGATGAGGGGTGCTTCCCGCTCTCCCCTGCCCTGTTGCAGCTGTCACAGCACTGACAATGCCGGTGTGCAGAGCTGGGAGAACAATAGCAAGAAACACACACTGTTCATTGTTGCCCACACACCGTTCTGAGAACTGTTATACTAAATCACTCAATCTTCTCAGCAGTCTCATGAGGTAGGTGCCATTGGTGTCCTTATTGTTATCACTGAGGAAATTGAGATCCAGAGAGGAGAAGTGATTTGCCAAGAGTCCAACTTGTGCGTGGAGGAGCTCAGCGTTCCACCCAGCAGGCGCCCCAGCCTCCGCCCCGTAACTTCCTCCTGCTGACATAACCTGCCTTCCCATCACAGTGTGCGCCCTGCTCCCTGGACCACCCGGCTCAGGGCTCGCAGGTAGTACACACGTGACCGGGGAATGTTTGAGTGAACGAATGACCGCGTTCATGAGTATCACCCGACCGATGGATGGTTTGGAGGGCCAAAATACCTTTCCTCTGCTAGTGGGGCAGCCCCATCCTCTCCCTCCTGCCCCAGCTTCCCCGGCGTTCTCTTTGACTCACACAAGAAGTTCTGGGTGGCTGAAGCGGGTTTGGCTCAGTGGATAGAGTGTCGGTCTGCAGACTGAGGGGTCCCAGGTTCGATTCTGGTCAAGGGCATGTACCTTGATTGTGGGCACATCCCTGGCGTGGGGTGTGCAGGAGGCAGTTGGCCGATGATTCTCTCTCATCGATGTTTCTAACTCTCTCTCCCTCTCCTTTCCTCTCTGTAAAAAATCAATAAAGCATATTAAAAAAAAAATTCTGGGTGGGAGGGAGTGTATCGTTAGCCGCCCAGAGCAATAACAAATATGACAGTGGCCGGCCCCACTTCCCTGTGGTACCGGCATCGGCACAAAGATGAGCTCTAGAGAAGTGCTCCTCCCACGCTTGCTCTAACCCCAAACAGCAGACCACACGGGGGCCCTGAGCTGGGTCAGAGGCAGGCCCTCAGGGCAGCTGTCCATCTGAGAGACCACGCGTAGCTTTTCAGGCGATGCCGGGGAGAGAGTGGACTGGGGATCTGTCACTAAGCCCCCGGTTCTGGCCTGGCAGTGATCATTAATGTGACAGCGTCCAAGGCCGGAACAGGCAGAGAAGGCAGGTCACCTTGTCCGGCCACCGGCAGTTTAGCTAATGGGGCATGGAAGATCTAAATTGGGAGATAGTTAAAAGGTAATAAAAAGGTCCGGGGTCAGGGGTTGGAGGTCTCTCTGCTTTGGTGACAGACAGATGTGTGTTCCCGGGCGGCTGTCGGGCAGGATTGGGTCGTAGAGAGATGGGGTGTTGGTGAGCGCCCTCACCAGTGGAAAGAGAGACAGGGCGGCTCCGTGTTAGCCATCCCTGTGGTGGAAGAATCACGGACCCGGGAGAGGACAGCTCCAGATCAGACTGTGGCTGTGTCCCTGCGAGGGTGCCACCGAACCCTTTCAGTCTGTTTCTCGGCTATAAAGACAGAATAATAGATTTACCCATCCGGTGGTCGTGGTGGTTTTAAAAAGTGCCTCGCTCAGGGGGTGTCACATAACAAGTATATATGATGTCCATTTATTCTATTTATTTTATGTTTAAACACCATACCTGGGTGAAGGGGCTTCATAACTATTTGTTATTGGATGAACAAAAGAAGGGCCAGGCCAGCTAATCGAATTGGAGGGACATTCATGTCACTGCCGTGCAGCATCCACGCTCGCTTCGGACCCATCTGTGATGTTCTCTCCACTGGAAACGCCGCAGGATGCGTGGTCTGGTGGGCGACCTGCCTTACAATGCTGCTTGCATGCGGCTTATTCTGAGACCTTTTGCTCTTCAGTCCTTTGCATTCACTGTGTCTCCTTCCCAGAGGTGTGCCACATGGAACCTTCTGGGAGCTTTAGTTTGAATCTTCAACCTGGGGGAAGGACGAACCAGCCTCCACAGGTTTAAGCCGACTTCACTCTAATGTCGAAGGCCCGGATTCCATTTTTGCAGAGGGTGAGTGAGCATGGGGAGGGCTAGAAGCACTTGATTAGACTGTACAAGTCAGCGTTTTTATTGGCGGTGTTGGTTTTAGCCACAGTGGAGACGGACGGGTTGTTCCTTGCGGTCACCACACCCAGGAAGAGGGGAGGGGGCCTGCTCCGGAGACACCCCCGAGAAGGACAGGCCAGCCTTGCTCAGGAGCGAGGGCCGGTCCCCACAGCCTCTGGCTTCATGTAGAGCAGTGGTTCTTAACCTTCCTAATGCCGCCACCAGTTAGTACAGCTCCTCATGTTGTGGTGACCCCCAACCATACAATTATTTTTGTTGCTACTTCATAACTGTAATTTTGCCACTGTTAATGAATCGTAATGTAAATCTCTGTGTTTTCCGATGGTCTTAGGCTCTACAGAAGTGGTTCTCACAGATATTTACATTACGATTCATTAACAGCAGCAAAAATTAGTTATGAAATAGCAACGAAAATAATTGTATGGCTGGGGGTCACCACAACATGAGGAGCTGTATTAAAGGGTGGTGGCATTAGGAAGGTTGAGAGCCACTGATGCAGAACACCAGCTAATACACAACCAGGCCCCGTCCTTTAGGAGTCAATGGAACAAGCCAGCTGGAAAAGGGTGAAGAGAAAGAGCCAGGGGACGTGCAAGTAGAGGATTAGATGGAGCCATTTAAAGTGACAAAAAGCCAGAGTAACAGAGCGGCCGAGGGAATCTGGCCCCAAACTGGCCGAGCCCGCCCTGAGAAGCGCCCTCTTTATGTCTCCTGGAGCATGTGTGGTGCTTCCCAGCCAGATTCTCAGGCCCTTTCTGTGGTGCTTATAAAGGAGAGACTACAGCCGTGTGGATGGGGCCCTCCCCTTCTCATTCGGCATCCCCTTCACAGCCTCTGAGATAAATCTCTGGCTCAAATGAAATTGTTAAAGAAGAAAATGGCAAAAAACAAACCCCACCAAAAAATGCTGTTGGGCAGGAGATGCTGACTAGTTCTGTTTTTCTTTTTTCCCCACAAAACAAGGAGCATTTCCTCTGAAGAGTAGAGTAAACGGCGTTTATTTTTTTGTTGAAATTTTCAATCAAAGGGAATTGTTTAATTAAAAAAAGAAACGTATCCCCTTTCACTTTAAATACTACAGACAACCTCATTTTATCTCAGCAGACACCTAGCAACAAAACACTGGACCCACCAGAGAAAACTGGGCAAAGGAAAGCATCAGAAATTCAGGTCAACTATGGAAGCTGGCAGCGCTCAATTCTAAACAGAAGTGTCCGGGACCGATTGGGCTGGACAAAAGTGTCTTAGAACTGGGGATATGGGGAAGTTGGACTCCTTTGAATTCCCTCCCAGTTGTTTTCTGTGTAGGGAAAGGAAAGTCAATGCATCAAATGAAGACCCAAAAGAAACATTTAAAAACGTGTTTGACTAGTATTCAGTAGGTGAGATTATTAAGTAATAATAACTTGTCCTCCTAGTTAACCTTGTCCTGGAATATATATAGGTTATTTGTAGCCGCCACTGCTATAATATTTTCTGAAGGATGCCAAGCTGTATGCAAGATCTTTTTGCTAAAGTCCAGGCTGTCGACGCTGATCTCGTCTTTCCTCCGCTTGCCCCCCACGCACACTTTCCGCGGTTTCAGGATGGCCCGGGGTTTGCTGTTCTCCCTCGAGGCCTCCAGGGTGACGTCACGCTTGGTGTTTCGGTCGAACATCCTGAAGAAGTTGTTGTAGGAGCCGGTCATGATGACACTGCAAGGCAGAAAGGAAACAGGGAGCCACTGAGTACTGTGGAGAAAGGGCAGTCACACCCCCCTCTGGTGCCTGTCTAACGCAAGCACCGCTGCTCTGTGGCCTGGTAACAAACACCCAAACAGGTTCTATAGTGCGACTGCTGGTGTCCTTTGCAGTCACTAAGAGCAATAAGCCCTGGGCTTGGAACTAAGGATGGTGGTAAACTTTCTTGTTAATTATTTCTGTTCCCTAGATTCCTTTCTGTTCTGGGGCTCAGTCAGTGAGTCACAGGATTGCGGGCTCAGAACTGTGAGGCTGGAGAAGGTGAGGAAAGCAGGAGTACTTTGAAAACCATGAAGCCCTGTGCATATTTATTTGTTTATTATTTAAAAAAATATATTTTATTGACTTTTTACAGAGAGGAAGAAAGAGGGATAGAGAGTTAGAAACATCAATGAGAGAATCGTTGATCAGCAGCCTTTTGCAGGCCCCCTACCGGGGATGTGCCCACAACCAAGGTACATGCCCTTGACTGGAATCGAACCTGAGACCTTTCAGTCCGCAGGCCAACACTCTATCCACTGAACCAAACTGGTTTCGGCGCCCTGTGCATATTTAAAGCTGACCTCCAAGGCCCTTCCCAGCTGTGGGACATCAGGATGGCCGGTGAGCTGCTTGTGTGGCTAGACCAGTAGTTGGCAAACCACGGCTCGAGAGCCACCTGCAGCTCTTTGGCCCCTGGAGTGTGGCTCTTCCACAAAATACCATGTGCGGCGGCGTGCACATACAGTGTGACTGAAACTTTGTGGTCCATGTGCAGAAGTCGGTTTTTGGGCTGGGCGAGTCTATTTTGAAGAAGTGGTGTTAGAACACTCAAGGGGCCAGAGCTGCAAGTGGCTTGCAAGCTGCGATTTGCCGACCACGGGGCTGGACGGATTGAACAAGCTTGTGTGGGTGGACAGTGGCACCAAACAGGGCCCAGGACGTGGCGGAGTCCCATTTTCTAACATTTTTTATGTTGTTTATGTTCAATGACATACATAGCATCCTGCTATTTACTCCATGGCCAGCATTAAATAACATGCTGTATGTGAAGGTGCCTGGTACACAGCTGGTGCTTAGTAAGCGTAGTTTTTAGGTCTAGGCTAAGATAGAGGGGAATGAGGAGCAATGACAACAAATACGCAAATAACAGGTACAATTAATCAACAAGTACATTATATGTAAATAAATAAGATAACGAGGTTGGCTAGCTTCTTGCCCCTGTAGGAGCTTTTGTTCATGTATCACCATTGCTTTGCTCTCTCCTCTCCACCTCTGTCCTACACCAGCTGGATGGTCTCACTTGGGTCCTCCGCCATTTGGGGGATTTATCCCAGGCTGCGTGGAGGGCACTCTGGTTCACAGGCTAAGGAGGCTGGACAAAGGACAGAGACAGCTCATGCTCACTGAGACTCTGAGGGCTTTGGCACTGTTGGGTTTCTGCGCTTTGGGCAGGACTGTGGGGCTGGTGCTGACTTCTCCAGGGACAGCCCCTGGGAGCCTGTGCCAAGTTCTCCCAGAACCCGGAGATCCATCTGTATGTGTCAAACTAAAAATGAACTATTGGGAGGTAATATGAAGCATTGTTGAAATCAAAGGCCTTAAAACAGTAATAAATCACGTAGAGGGAATGTGATGAATGGGGCTGGCTGGCATTCCGCTAATGAGCCGCCGGGGCCTTTGGCCAAGTCTACACTAGCAGCTTCAAGAAGTAATTTTCGATCTGGAAAGTTTGCAGTCACGTGAGCCATTCATGCTGGGATCCGAAGGAGGATCATTAGTGCCCTCCATTTTGGCTTGCTGGCCTTGCTCTGGGGGGAGGGGGGACAGGGGAACTTTTGTATAAAAGATCGGGTTTTCTCGTTGATGCCCAAGGGTCACCTGCGCTGGTGCTGAAAGCAGAGTCAAGGGTCTCCCTATGTCCTTCCCTTCATCCCAGGCCTGACCCCAGGGGCATCCGGTAACCCACATAAGACATCCCTGCCAGGCCTCGGGACCGGACATTGACATCCATGGAAATCACACCACCCAGGCCCCCGCCTGGAGAGGGCCTGCCTTTCGGAGGCTCCCGGTCACTGAGCCTTCCTCACCTGTCTGACCCATTCCACACGCACTCGAATTTATCAAAAATGCAGTCGTTTTCGTAGAGGGAGCACAACTTGCTGCGGAGGTAGTCATGGACCTGAGGAGGAAAGAAGGCAACAGTCAATTACATTAAAAAAGGATGCTTTCTGTGAATGCTGCCTCCGTGGGTGTGGGCTGTTAGTTCTTTTGGTGCAATCGCGCCTCCATCCAGGTGGTCCCAGTCTGAAACCAGGTGCGGCCCTTCCCAGCGGTGGGGCATTGAGATGGGCTGCTTATGTGGTCAGATGGGTCAAGCTAGCTTGGTAGGTGGGCAGAGGCACCCAACAGGGCCCCATAAGTGGCATAGTCCTATCCTTATCTAAGCCCAGCAGTAAGGAGAGGCGATGATAATAACAGGCATACACAGAATGCTACTTGTTATTAGCCGGGTGCTTTGTTCATAAAGTCTCATCTCAGGATAGAGGGATGGTCATTCGCTTCATTTCAATGGAGCATGAAGTGTAGGGTATGACGTCATGTGTCCAAGATCACACAGGAAAGAACGTGACAGGATGGGAACTGAACCCCCGTATTCAGGTTCCAGGGCACCCACTCTCCAGCAATCTGCCTCCCCAACTTGTTCTGCCTCATTAGCCTCACCTTACACGGGGTCTCAGTCCCACACAGAAGCTGCGATAGTGACCTGAGACGAGGCCAAGGGGGAGACAGACCCGGGTGAAGGTAGAGGGTTGGTGTGAAAAGCATGTGTCACTGTGTTTAGATTGAGAGTGATGGTTCCTTCTCCCTTGCCTTGCAGCCTGGGCCCCTCGCCTCTCCTGAGTCCTGCGGGATGCTGACCCCCGGCTCAGCTGTGTGCGGAGTACTGGACAGAAGACTGAGGTAAGATTCATTCCATATGGCCTTACACGTTTTGGGTATGTGCAAGCTCTGAGTCATTGGATAGCGTACTGCTAACTGCAAATCAATTTCCTCCACTATGGGTCTGTTGTTCCCCCAAGGTTTTGGGCCTTGCCAGGTGTCTGCTTCAGGGCTGTGGGTGGGGAAGGCGGATGCAGGAATGAGGCTTGTGTTCTGCACTTAGTATCTCTGCTGCAAATTAGCTCATTTTCTCCCTTTCTGCCACTGTTTGGGCATATTGGAAGTGGCTCAGGAGGCCATTTCTGCTTGTAGGGGTGAAAATCTTGATTGTTAAAAATTTTTTTAGAGCACCTGAGGGCAAAAGAGGGCTGATTCTGGGTATTGACCAGGGGTTGGCAAACTTTTTATAATATAAAGGGCCACATGGCCTCTGTTGCAATAACTCAGCTCTGCCCCTGTAATGCCAAAGGCAATACATAAACGAACGAGCAGGGGAGTGTTCCAATAAAATTTTATTTATAACAACACGATTGGCTTCTGGGCCATACTTCTGTTTACCCCATGTCTTGACTGTTCTCCCCATTACCTCAAAGCACCACAGACTACTTTCAATGAAGGTGGTGATGGTGGAGTTAAGGGACTCGGCATTGGTCTCATTTCTAGAAAGTGTTGATTCTGGCCCTTATCACTGACTTGTCTCTGGGCTGTGTGTAATGAGTGGGGGAGAGGGAGAGGAGTTGGGCTGGGAGTGAATCGAGGGGGCAATAGGAGCCAAATTTCTTATCCCGATGCTCCAGCTCTCCTACTCTTGGAGAGAAAAAACTCTCTCCCTCTCCTCCTTCCTCTTCTCTGGTGTGGAGCAATTTTAAGGCAAGGCACAGATGTGAGTGGTATTCTAAGAAAGGGAAATAAGTTTTGCAAACCCTTGGTTAAGCAGGTTTGTATAATGCAGCACTTCTCAGAGTCCCACAGTGGCTAAAGAAATTGTAAAATTATAAGAAGGAGATAGAATATTCTTTTGCTTCACTACGATTATCCAACTTTCTCCTTTTGGTAGGAGAAGTATCAATTATTGTCTTTAACATAATTAGGATTTTGATAGGGAGGGAGGGGATAGAGCAGTAAGGTTTAGAAATAGGGCAGTGGTATGCCTTTTCAGGCCTGACCCAGGCTGTCCTCTCCTTGATGACATTTGCTTATAGAAACACCACAGGTAAGTAATAAGTGTCAGAATGTGTGTGCTTTGGAAGTATGGGCCCAGTAGCGGGAACTACACCACCAAGAACTCCATAAATCATTTTCCATTAAAGTTGACATGCAATATTATATTAGTTTTAGGTGTGCAACAGTGATTAGACATTTCTATGCCTTATTAAATGATCACCCCAGTAAGTCTAATATACATTGTAATAACTATGGGTGGTGTCAAATGAGTGAGAGGCCCAGTGCATGAAATTTGTGCATTCGTGGGGGGGGGGGGGGTCCTTCAGCCTGGCCTGTGCCCTCTCACAGTGCAGTAACCCTTGAGGGATGTCCAACTGCTTAGGAGGCGGGAGAGGCTCCCGCCACTGCCACTGCACTAGGCAGCTGTGAGCCTGGATTCTGGCTGAGTGGAGCTCTCCTTGTGGGAAAGCACTGACCCCCAAGGGGCAGATCCTGCATTGAGCATCTGCCTCCTGGTGGGTCAGTGCGCATCATAGCTACCAGTCATTCTGTGGTTGGGCTGAAACCAGCTCTCCAAGGGATCCCAGATTGCCAGGTCAAGGGACCCCACTGGTGCATGATTGGGGCTGGGAAGGGATGTGAGAGGTTGGCCAGGTAGGGAGGGACCATGGGAGGGCTTTATGGCTTGTCTGGCCCATCTTGCTCAGTCTGATCTGCCGGACCCCAGCAGCAATCTAACCTACCAGTTGGAGCGTCTGCCCCTTGGTGGTCAGTGCATGTCATAGCAAGCAGTTGAGCAACCTTAGCATATCATTAGCATATTATGCTTTGATTGGTTGAACAGCTAACTGGACTACTGGGCACTTAGCATATTAGGCTTTTATTATGTAGGATTCCTGACTGTGTTTCCTATGCTGTCCTTTACATCCCTGTGACTATCCATAAGTAAGGATAAAAGTCAGGAAGAATCCAGGGAAAACCTTGTCTGAACTAGTACTAGTATTTTCTCCTCCCTACCCCCAATTGAAGGCATCTGAAGGAAAAGAAGAGCTACTGTGAAGGTACGTTACATTTATGTTATGTTGTTAAAAATCTTAGGCAAACAAGATGCATCTTTCTCCATGAGAGGCAAGAATAAGGTAAGATATACACATGAGAAACAGAAAACAGAGCAAGAGATAACTTAAAACTCTTCTTATTCAATGCTTCTCTTTATATTTCAAATATTTTGTTTCTGTGTTCCTATTAGATTGTGTTTGACCTTTTTGACAGTGAGTCTTACAAACCAGTGGTTCTCAATTATGTATTTGTGGAAATCTGATGTTGGTAGTTAATGGTCTGCTCATGAGGCCTTCCAAGTGCAGACTCTATTGGTTTGTTCTTATATTTCAGGAGTTGACACATTTTTCCAGTAAAGGGTCAAAGAGTAAATATTTTGGGTTTTGTGGGCAACATGGCCTCTGTCACAACTTTGCCATTGTAGTATGAAAGCAGCCATAGACAATATGCAAAATGATTGGGTGTGGCTGTGTTTCAATAAAACTTTATTTACATAAACAGAGGCAGGGCTGGATTTGGCCCACAAGTTGCCATTCCTTCTTCTATAGGAAATCCTGAAAATAGCTCATTATATTTAAATCTACAGCTCAGGGCAATCCTTAGTAATTGATTGTGGGATTCTTTCCCATTGGAGCAGGCCTCACAATCTTTTTTCAACAGTGCTCTAGATACTCAATCAGCATTTATTTACCATCTTTGATATAGTATATAAATGTAGTGATATTTCATTTTAATACATGTGCTAAAATACTGATTTCTTAGTGCTCTACAAAGTAGATCTTCAAGTCTACCACTAGCTAAACATGGTTTGAAAACCATGATCTTAAAATGTTGATTATTCCATGTCACTGATAGCTAGCTGTGCTCTAAGCCTTTCCCTAAAATGAAAGTACTAACTACTCTCACCACTGTGTCACCTGAATCTACTTCTCTCTAATCAAGGCTCTGTCAATACCACCCATACTCAGGTTCCAGTTCCCGCTGCCTTCTTTTTTGTGTTAAAGTTTGAAACACTAGATGGTTTGTCTGTGCAGCTGGAAGAGGACACCTATGGACTGAAGATGGAGGACTGTGAGTGAGAGCTTGGGGAGGTGCTGTGAAGCTGGACCTTTAACTCTGGGGTATGCTCTTTGAACCACAGGGGCAAACAAATTATCTCAACTCCATATGTGGTCTTGAATTCTGGCCCGTAGACTAAGGTGACCAGACATCCGAATTTTTGGCAAAAATCAGGACTTTTTTAAAACATCGCGGGACGTCTGGTCACCTTACCTATTTACAGCACCCTCTGGAACTCACAATCAATCGTTAAAGTCCTGGGGATCCTCAACCTCCTCTCTGAACTTGTCCTCCTTCTCATGGAAAGATCTGCTTTTCGTAAGGCTGCTCACGTGGTGGCAGGACTTTTGTTCTCCTGGGACAGAGTGGGCTTGTTGGTGCTCCTGGAAGCCATGTCGGCAAACTCAACTCCTTGGTACACATCCTCTTTACAGTCCCCAAAAGTTCCCTGAGCCCCTCTCCCTCTTTCATTACTATTCCTGCCATCATTCTTTAGTGATTCAAATATTCTCGTCTCTTGGCCTCATCATTTTCAATGAGTTTTCTCCTTTGTTTCCTTGGCCATTCCTATAACTGTATCCTGTTAACAAGTATTGGTCTATTGCTACTTCCTGCTTTGACCTATTTTCCTTCTTATCTGCTTTTTAAAATAATTGATTTTACACAGAGAGGAATTGAGAGGGACAGAGAGTTAGAAACGTCGATGAGAAAGAACCGACCAGCTGCCTCTTGCACAGCCCCCACTGGGGATGTGCCCGCAACCAAGGTACATGCCCTTGTACCTTTCAGTCCGCAGGCCGATGCTCTATCCACTGAGCCAAACTGGTCCCGGCCTTATCTGCTTTTGATTCAGTGGTTCATCATCATAATCACTCTCTTACTATATACCTTCAACAAACCTATTTTTCTTTTTCTCTCCACTGTACTCATTTTGCCAAAACCCCCATCATTAGTTAAATCTAACTTTCTGCTCTTCCCTACCTGTACCAAGCAGGTGAATGTGGTTTGAAGGAAACACACAATCCTACAGGTAACCTCACTGAAAATAATATAAACCTCAAGTAGATCCCTGAGTAACCCTCCATTTCCCTAGTCCAGAGGTCGGCAAACTGAGTTTTGATATAAATCCAGATTCTTACTGGCTTAATCACAAGGAATAACAACAGCCTGTAATTAGTGGTCAGCAAACTCATTAGTCAACAGAGCAGCAAACTCAGCTCGCGAGTTTGTTTTGTTGTTAAACTGAGAGCCGCAGTTTACCGACCACTGCCCTAGTCAATTCACTCTCTTTCATGAGCACTTTACACACTTTTTCTTCATCCTCACTAGGCTGATGACCTTATTCTTATTTTACTGAGAAAATAGATATAATAAGAAAGTGTCTATAGTCCCATCACATAACTTACAAACCTACTGAATTTTTCTTTCTTTGATAGATGAATTGACAATCTTCCCCTCTAAGGCCAATTCTGCAATGGCCTCTCTTCCCTCAAGGACTTTGTTCCTTTAGCTGTCTCCCTCTCCATTGGCACAAAACTTCTTTAAGCCTGTATCCCATGTTTCTGTTTCCCTTCAGAATAAAATTTCTTGAGTTATCTGTATTCACTATGTCCACGTCCTCGATTCAGAGTTTGTCCTGAACCCACTCCAATCAAACATTCATCACCCACTTACACCTCTTTCACGGAGGTTCCTGAGAATCTCTACATCACTAAGTCCAAGGGTCAAGTCTCCGTCCTTACTTGATTTAGCAGCTGATGACTCCCTCCTCCTTGGGACCATTTCTGCACTTGGCTTCTAGGATATTCCCCTGTTTTCCTCCTATCTGCCTGGCCACTTCTTCCCAAGCTCTCTTGCAAAATCGACTTTTTATACCCAACGTCTTCTTCTCTAATTAAATGCATTTCCTAGGGCTTTATGTACCCTTAGGAGTGTTCAATGTTTTTCTCTAGGCAAGATATGTCCAGACTCTTACTGAGCTGCCTACTTGCTATTTATGGATGTTGAGCCAATTAAAAATGTCCAAAGCCAAACTCTTGACTTCCCATCCAAATAAAATGGAAACGGCACTTTGCTTAGCATAAAGGTCACACGCTAGTGATGATCCTGGGTGCTTCTTTTTCTTTTACATCCCATCCTACTGGTTTTATCTTGGATATACTAGTATACCAAGACTCTGGCCACCTCCATCATTAATACTGTCATCTAAGCTACTAACACCCCTTGCCAGAATATTGCAGTAACTTCATACCTATTCTCTCTCTCTCCTCCCCAGCACAACCAGAATACTTATTTTAAAATGTTAGTCCCACAACTTTGGGCACAGACCAAACCCCTCTGTACACTATGAAAGAGTGAATATTATGGCATGTGCATTATATCTCAAGAAGAAATATGTAAACCAAATTTCTCTGTCTAGAATTTCCTCTTTTTTTTTTTTTTTATCTAACCCAAGAAATCTTTAAAATAAGACTAATTTATTCCTGCCTCTTGACTATTGCTTCCATTGTACTCTTGCCTGGAATTATCGATAGCTTCTATTGATACAAATCCTTTCTACCTCAAAGTCTGGTCTTCCTCTTTAAAAAAACAACAGCCAACCATTCTAAACAATACCTTCTCCTTTTTTGTCTGCAAGTCTACAAACCACGCACAGTCTTCCTGATTCCTCTTCCCTCCACACCCAACAGCAAACCTCACAGACTCTCCATCCTCCCGCCTTCTCCACCTGCACGCCACCATGGCCTCCTCCCTAGATTCCTTCAATCTGTTTGGCAAGTTGCACTATGAAACGCATGGTAGAAACAAAATTCACAATGGCATTTCCCACGCAAGACTTTTTAATCTATCATACTTGACCAGAGCCTATGTATCCAAGCTCTTCTTTCTGCTCCTGTGTCCATGTTCAGGACATAGAGAGCTCCTTTCTGAACACACCAGGCTTACCTTGATTCCAGGAGAACCTCTCTCAGCAGGCGGGCCTCCCTGCATGAGCTCCCCTGGCACTCAGTATCATCTCTTTCCTCACCGTACACTCAGCTCCCTGTTTGTCATCTCACTTCTCCACCAGACTGCCAGGAGAGCAGGACCACATCTGAATAGATGGTATCCACCACACAGCAGGTGCTCAGTAGATAAGGATTAAGTTCTAGCCCCTCTATATGCACCTCTTCTTAAACCCTGTGGTTCCCACGGGATATACCATTCTAATTTTTCTGTGCTGTGATCAGCTTTTGCGGGCAGAGGCTGACTTGGAAGCCCACAAAGGAAGCGTGTGATACTCGCATGGGGGGAGGGTAGTCTGTACCTGGTAAGTCTCGATGGGGCGGTTTTCCATGTTGAGGTCCCAGACTTTAACGGTCAGGTAGTCCCTGGTCATGATGTACCTCCCGCTGTGGCTGAACTTCACATCCGAAATTGAAGAGATAATTTCGGAGAAAAACGACCTGTTGCTCGGATCTTCTGGCTCCTCAAAAACTTCCGAACAAAAGCAAAAGAAGACGAATTTAGCGCATTCTTAACAGGTTAGAGTCCATTGATAACAGAACTATCAGCTCCTTGGCAGCAGAAAAAGCTGTCACTGGTCTCTATTTTCCTTCTGATGGGAGGACTGGCATGGGGCCTGTCCCATCCATTCATCTGGCTTTGACCATTTCCGAGCTCCAGGTCTATGCACCTAACTCTGTTTCACATTCCCTCTTGTTTCTGGTGCCACTGTACATACCAAAACCTGGAGTGATCGTAGATGCTTAAATACAAAAATTTTTACTGCCTTATCAAGATATAATTTGTATACCATAAAATGTTACTCATTTAAAGGTTACAATTCAGGGGTTTTCTGCATAATCACGAAACCCATCACCCCAATCTAAATTTAGAACATTTTCCTTTACCCTCTCAAAACAAACAAACATACCCACTAGCAGTTACTCCCCATTCCCCACCCCTAGGCCACCACTAATCTATTTTCTGGTTCTATGAAATCACCTATCAATGGAACCATAGAATGTGTGGTCCTTTGTGTCTGATTTATTTTATTTAGCATCATGTTTTCAAGGTTCAGCCAGGCTATAGCAATCATCAGTACGTCAATCCTATTAACAACTAGATAATATTCTACTGTGTGGACATACCACATTCTCTTTACCAGTTCATTTGTTTCTAGACATTTAGGTTGTTTTTATATCTCTTGGCTATTATGAACATTCATGTACAAGTTTTTGCATGGACATATGTTTTTTACATTTCCTGGATTGTGGTGTTTAATAATGGGACTTTGCTCTTATTTACTAGAGTGTGAGCTTGGGCAAGTTACTAACCTGTGGCTACAATGTCCTTCCTATATAGGATGGGGCAAAAGTAGGTTTACAGTTGTTTGTATGAAAAATACAATAATACATAAGTAAGTAAGAATAGCCTGACTGGAGGGGCTTCAGTTGGTTGAGCATTATCCTGTGCACTGAAAGGTTGTGGGTTTGGGTCAGGGCACACTTGGAAGGCAAGCGATCAGTGTTTCTCTCTTTCCAAGCATGTCATGGGAGAGACTTAAAAAACAACAACCTACACAAAAAAATAAGAATTAAACCAAGACCTACTTTTGCCTCGCCCTGTATGTTGTTTGCTTGTTCCGATACCCAGCCAGGGACTTACCATGTCTTTATTGCTTTTGCTAATTTCCACTTACAGTAATAAAGACAGCTCTAGAGTTTGATATTGAGCCTGTAGTAAGCTGCATTACCTTGTCTTTTACCTTGATTTTGAACTTCTCTGGTTCAAATTGAATGTATCTTGTTATCCCATTTCTAAGCTCTGCTGATTCAAATGCCTCATTTTTTTTACATATTATTTTAGCCCAAATTATTTTTCTCTGAAGCCCCATCATACTTGGTCTGGCTCATTCATCTAGCATGTGCTCAGGGACTCTCACCTGAATATTTAATAATCCACAGGTTTGTCTTACCACAACTAGGATGTGAACTTAAAGGCAGGATTTTGGTTTTTCTTGTCTTTGTATGACAGTTTTACATACAAATGTTCAATAAATATTTGTTGCTTGATTGGAACCAAAGCCAGCTAAATTAATGAATTCTTTGCCTTCTAAGTGCTTAGCATATATGATTTCAAGCTACACATCTTTGCCAATACTTATTTTGGACCCCCAATAATGGCGACTGAGTGTTTGGTTCAGCCTAAAATTGTGATACAAACAGCAGCCTGCAAGTGACTGAGTTAACTTGTCCTCCAAAGCTTCCTCTTTCCTGCTCACTCCATGCACTCACAGTACCATCAAATTCCAGATAGAAATCCTAAGAATATTGAGCTCTTTCAAGCCTTGCTAAATCAACTCACCAGCCAAACCAAAACTACTTCTTTTCTCAGAACCATTTAAGAGAATAACAAAACAATTAATCAATCAGAATTGAACTTGAGATAAAAAACCAAAAAACCATTGAAACAGAAAAGCAGGAGCTTATTATGGTCTCTGACACTATATTGTAGTTATAGCAAGCATTCACGAAGGCTCCTCCCTGGATTCTGACGGGTACCCTCATCGTTGAGAACTACATTTTCACATCAGTTTCTATATAAGGCAATCTCAATAGGACTGGAGACTTAGATACAACCACCACACCCCATGCAAAACACTCACACATCTTAACAGAGGGGCTGGGAGCCTTGAGGCTTGGTCACCTGATGTAACGAAGGGACAGCTTGAGGCAGTAGGTGGGAAGGGCTTAAACTGCTCTGGAGTCGTCTGTCTGTCCCTGCCTCTGTAACTTACCAGTGGTTGACTTTTTCTTTACTACCTGAGCTTCAGTTTTCCCAGCTGCAGAAAGAAGACGTATGTGACACATATGCTTGGCACATAGTAGGTTTTCAACAGTAGCTTTTTATCAACAGTAGCTTGCACTCCTCTGTATTGGCCAATCATATTTCATTTATTGGGAAGCTTGAGAATTTGGGACTGTGAACTCTTTATAAGGAATCTGTCCTTCAAACATCTGGTATATTGGGGCCTAATGTAGCAACATTAGAAAGCCGCAAAATGATATCCCTAGAATATGGAGGTGATATAAAAAGACAATTCTTTAATCAACTAATCACTAATTATGTATGTGGGACAGGATATAGATAACACAGCAGCACAGTATTTTGCAGTTCATGACACATCTATGCCTACCCAAGGTTTAATATCAACTTCATGAATTCTAACAGTTAATAGTGCTAATAATTACTGTCTATGGGAAGCGTAGTATATCTTAGGCCCTGTATTTTACATGCTTTAGCTCATTTAATCCTTATAACAATACTATGAAGTAGGATTGATGATTCCTTATTTTATAGATATGGAACAGTAAGGCACAGAGAGGTTTTGTAAGCTGCCCAAGGATGCACAGCTAGATCTGCCTTCTGAATCACGTATGACTTCAAAGTCTTTGTTCTTAATCATGATGGAAATCTGCCTTGCACCATCCATTAGTCCTTGTTTTAGGAGCTAAAGGACGTTCCAGGTTAGAATCTACATAGAACCATGGAATTGTAAAGTGGAACAAATTCTAACAACTAGATCTACACTTCCCCTTTTATACAAAGTCCATTTAAAATACCCAAGGAGTTGCCAAAACCGGTTTGGCTTAGTGGATAGAGCGTCGGCCTATGGACTGAAAGGTCCCAGGTTCAATTCCGGTCAAGGGCATGTACCTTGGTTGTGGGCACATCCCCAGTAGGAGGTGTGCAAGAGGCAGCTGATTGATGATTCTCTCTCATCGATGTTTCTGACTCTCTATCCCTCCCTCTTCCTCTCTGTAATAAATCAATAAAATATATTAAAAAAACAATAAAACACCCAAGGAACATGGTTTCTACACCAAGCACTCAGGGTGTGAGCTGCACACATAAGGTGGGAACCCCAGGACTTTGCATGCCCTGTGAAGACCCTTATCATCCAGGCCATCTCTCACCTCCCAGCTCTAAGCCCTGTGGCCTGTAAGCAGTGAGGCAAGCTTCTCTCTGCCTCAGTTTATGTACACCATTTGATTTATTTCACTTAGTTGTCTCCCCTAAAGGATGCAAGCTCTACAAGGGCAGATTTTTGTTATGTTTTTGGTCTATTTTGTCCTGCTATAGTCCCTGGAACATAGGAGGTGCTCGTAAATATATGTTTAATAAATGAATATGGACAGCCATTTAATTTTAAGTGAAAATAATACCTATCTTATAATTAAACAGGTCCTGAAAAGAACCCATCTAAGCCATGCTTTATTCAGCTCAAAGTGGTTTCTGTTTATGCATTTGAAAAGTGTGGGAAAAATGCCTTCCATAGGAAGTCATCTGTAATTCAGGGTTTTTACTAATTCAGGCTGAGCAATCACTTGTGGGCTATTTTATGTGCATGCACCACACTTAGTATGTTACCTAGAACATACAAATAAGAAGTATTTGTTGGATGGACGCAAGCTAAGCCCTGTACTAAATGCCAAGGTCACAAGGAACAAGATAGATCCAGTCCGACCCACACGGTGCTCACAGGCCACAGGAAAAGACAAATGCTGAACAATTCTATGCTGAACAATTCTATTCATTTCATTAACGATGTGAATAAGAGAGATTTTACTGCATTCGCGGAAGGAAATACTACTAAAGGTACTGGGGGACCAGCGAGAGGAATGCAAATGGAACCTCACTGTGTGTTCCATGTAAGTTACTGAACGTGCAGTACAAAAGCATCTACTGCTTGAGTGACAGACCTTGAGACAAATCAAAACTGGTGTCAGAATCACAAGGGAGCATGTATCTTGGAGACCCCAATAATAACAGTCATAAAAACAATGACATCTGCCCCATTTCTTGGTCTTCATACTTTGCATGCATTATCCCACTTAATGCTCACGCTTACTGTCCTTACTTATAGATGTGATAGACCAGAAGGGGGTAACTTTCCAGGGTCGCACAGTTAAAGAGGAGTAGAAATAGATCTGCCTGTGACACTGCCACCACAACTAGGCCTGCCTTTCTTTGTCAGTATCACCTCCCTGGATGCAAATAAAAAAGACAATGAGGTACCATCTCACACCTGTCAGAATGGCTATCATCAACAAATCAATAAATGGCAAATATTGGCGAGGATGCGAAGAAAAAGGAACCCTGGTGTACTGCTGGTGGGAATGCAGACTGGTGCAGCTACTGTGGAGAATAGTATGGAGTTTCCTCAAAAGATTAAAAATGGAACTCCCATTTGACCCAGTGATCCCACTTCTAGGAATGTATCCCAAGAAACTAGAAACACGAATCAGAAAGGATATATGCACCCCTATGTTCATAGCAGCACAATTCATCATAGCTAAGATTTGGAAACAGCCTAAGTGCCAATCAGCAGATTCGTGGGTTAAAAACTGTGGTACATCTACACAATGGAATTCTACGCTGCACTAAAAAGGAAGGAATTTCTACCATTTGCAGCAACCTGGATGGAACTG